AAACAATTTAGCCAGTGTAGAAGAGACAAAAACTATAGTTCATCTGTGCTATCATGTTCAAATGTCCACGTTTACAACATTAAAAGCACATTTACAGTTTGGTACAAATAAACAGTTTTGGTTTCTGTTGAGCTTCCACCTTCATAAAAACTTTATGATAGCTCATGTTTTTAGAACTCATTCATTTGGATACTGGCGAGACTTAAATTACGGGTGTGGTTGCTTTGATTGCAGCCTCGCCTTGTAAACTGTGCTGGACCTCTCCATCGTTTCTGTGGTACATTTTGGAATATTTAATGGATTGTGAGATAAAAAGGAGAGCCCAAATTCAGTACGTGGAAATAGAAGAACTGAGGTGGCCCGGTGTCAGTCTAAGCAGCCACGGCCTGCCCCCACTATCAGTGCAGTTGTTATGAAGGGGAACAGCTTAATTTGTACCATACTGGAAAGACACTTTTTAATTCTGTGAAGCTGCACGTTTTAACCTGAGACTGACCCACTTTTAGAACCATCCACGAGTGGCCATTAGAGGATTTGGAGTTTCTGGCATTTTTATGTTGTCACTCCGGTTTCCAAATGTTGGGGTTTTTTGTTTTTTGTTTTTTTAGTAGGTTTGTTTTTTTGTTTGTTTTGATTGAGTTACACCAAAACATAAAAGAGTTTACTGTAAATTGCAAAGGAAATGAAACATTTCATATTTTCATGAAGTTGAATGTGGCTTTTAATGTGAGTTTTCGAATTTTCCTCATATATTACGCATGTTTCTACTTTTTATTCTTTATTTGCGCTATACTAACCACAAGCACAAAAGCTGATGAAAAAACGAGAAAATGACGAACGAAATCTCAAATGAAAATCCAGAGGTTACAATAACCCCCACCCCAAAAAAATCTCTCTACGTGTAAAAGACATCATATAACAGCCAGATTTATCAGAAGGAAGGACATTTACCTGAGATGAGCTGAACAAAGAGCCTGCGGACACACAGAAGATCCATCTTCTCTGCTGAGGCTACAAACACGCTGATGGATTGCTGATTGATGATGGGCGGATGGATGGGTTCGTGAACAAACAGAGCAGCGTCTCGTTTCTCGGAGTTTCGGGATCTGAAGCAGAAAATCCGGCGATGATGAATCACTGAGGGTCTCTGAAGCCCTAAACAGGGCTGATGAAGCAAACGCCCCCTCCCGTCATCCAGCTCCAAGCGCCTGTGTGTGCACGCGCGGGCAACAGCGCCCTCTGCGGGACACGCGGTGAGCGGGAAAACTTCACCGTCGCTTTGTGCTGTGTTCACTGCTCCTCGGCCTTTCCTCACGTTCTCTTTTCAACATCCTGTCGCCTTTTCTTTCTCCTCGTGTCTGTGCACTACACGTTTCCAGCTTTTTCTCTGTCATGCTCCTGTTAAATTTAGTTATTCTCTACATGTGATATTCCTCGTTTCACACCTGGGTTATTTTCCTCTCACTTTTGGTTTCTCTATTTATGTGAATCTGATGTTTTTTCAACGATCTTTTTCAGTGACATTAAATCACCCACAAGACAGAAGCGTCACAGGCAGTGGTTATAGTAAGAAGGACAAATCAGCATTTTTCTTGGACTCCCAGCAGGAACTTTGTGTCCTGTGAGGGAAATTCCTAGGGCTGAATCCCAAAAAGAAGAAAACATGCCGTATGTTTTCTGGTATTATGCCTTTATTGGGCTGACTAAAAGCTGGGACTAACACCTTTTAACAAAACGTGAACATGAATTCACTTCGATGCTGCCTTCTCACTTAGATACATTTAAAGTCAAATATTTCCTTTTGCTGTCAGTGAGCTGATGAAGCAGCAGCAGACATGCTGAATCACATTAAGGAGTAAATGAGCTGAATACAGTGAAGCTGTCACTGTGGGGCCTCTGCCTGACTGACTGAGTGATAACAGCCTGAGTGATTTACAGCCTCTGTGATTTAGTATTGATTAGTTTGATGAGGATTCAGACTAATCAGTCCTTTTCCTGATGAAGTCAGAGGTCTGGACAGCCCCCCACCCCAGGCTCTGAGATATCAGACCTCTGATTTACTGAATCATCACTTCTGTTATTTGTGTTGCACTTTTCCTTTCTTTGGTCGTTCATCCCACACTAGTCTTGGACTTGGGACAGCTTCTTCTATGCTGGATTTGGCTTTTGTTTGTATACATGTGTGTTTTACACTTTGACTAATGTTGTAGAGAATCAGGTTGGTCATGTCCAGAAAAGTTTATTCTCAAAAGCAGCACACAACAGGACACGGTGAGCTGCAGACACAGCGGCACGGCTCAGGTGAAAGCGCTGCTTGGACCGAGTGCAGAAGAGGGGGAGCACACGTGCGAGCACTGCAGGACGTTTTTGTCCCTGAACTTGAAAAACATCTTTGCACTCAGGAGGTGGCACCTCAGAGTCTTAACATCTGACATGCACCTCCACTGGGAGAGAGCCACAAAACTTAAGGGTTAAACGAAGCTTTAAGACTGGTTAGATTTTGGGTCTGACCTGGACTTGTCCTGTTCCAGACTTTTCCAAACCACACTCTGGTAGCATCAACAGATCAAGAACAAACTCAGAGTTGGAGGAATTGTTTTATTTCCTGTTATTGCTCAGACAGAAATTCTGCTAAAAGACAAAAAAACTACAATGTTTTTTTAAACGTTCCCTCAGTAAAACACTCGAGTAAGACATTAAATACACATCAGACATCCATTTCCACTTCTTCATAACAGCAACAAGTTGTGCAAAAATAAAAACCTTCTGTGCATTGCTTATATTTGCAGTGCTTAACAAATGTATCAGACCACCATCTAGTGCACGTTTTGTCACAGTCGACCTAACTCTGACCAAGCTCTATAATGAAAATCTTATTTTTAATGTTGTAAAATATCATTATTGTTGTTATCCATGACTTTTCACGTTTTCTGCTTTACAAAAAAAAAAAAAAAAAAAAGCAGAAAACAGTAAAGCACATAATTATTCCCACGTCTCTCTTGGAAATGAGATTAATAAAATTACCTTTTGATCCAGATGCCAAATTACACTTATTTATATGCATTTGCAAACAGAAAAATTGGTTTCGTTTCAGTGGTTGGACGTTACGTTCGATTCACAGTCCACTGTCCTGGATCAAGTTTGGGTATAAAAACTTCAGGGAATTCAGTAATTTTCAGTTTTAAACAAGTTTGTGAAATATTTCTGAAATATCTGTTCTCGTGTAAAACCGGTGGTCTCATAAATTTGTTCAGAACTGTATGTGACTTTCATCCATGAGATATTTAAGGCACTTCACGTCAGTTTAGTTAAACCATCATGTAACCAAGGGACATCACCATCGAATAAAGATTTCAGAACGAGTGATCTCTCTGGGTTGGTAGCTGGAGACTTGATTTTATTTGCCCACGATAATGTTAAAGACCCAGGAATCTGCCACAAATGACATATAAACTCATTTCTTACACACACCATGAGTGCAAAGGAAGACAACACTGTGCTGATGTCGTCATCAAGCGTTTAAAGCTTCAGGAAAGTTACACAGGGCATTGTTTTATCCAGCACAGCGTGACCTGTATTTTACAGCAGGCTAAAAGCAGCAGTAAGGTGAAGCACATTAGTCAGCTGATGTGGTCTCACGTTCACTCCTCTGCACACAGATAGAAATGACATGGTGCAATGACACCTTCTCACTCCTGTCTGTGGCTTAAGTTGTTAATCTATGCACAATCCAAATTACAGAGACACTGTTAGGACTCTGGAAATGTAAATAAAGACTCAATGCAATGATTTGCAGTGCTGCGCAGCTACAACCCTCTGTCAGACAAGAAAGGCACAACATTCCTCTCCCAGAGGAGTGCTGTTGGAAGCAGAGGGAATGCTGCACTGTGGGAAATGTGAAAGTGTCCCACTCTTTCTGACACTGCTCATATTTTTCTTAGATGGCACATTTTCTCAGCTCATGTTCTCAGACATGTTTTCTGTGTTATAATGAGAATAAAGAATGTTTACCACATTTGCAAATCCTTGTATTGTATTTATTTACATTTTACACAGGAGTCCAACTTTTGGGTTTTTGCAGGTTTAAATTAAAATAAAATCCTGAGGTGCTAGAAAAGGTTCTATGTTTCATAAACCTTTAAAAAGTCACGGGGGCTTCCGGAGGTAAAAGGTGTTCTAATCTAGAGGCTCATTCTCGGAGGACGTACCAGCAGAGAAAGTAAGTTTAACTTCCTGTTTCCTAGAGAAAGTTCCTGTGGCGATAACCTTTAGAATAATACAGAACACTTATTTTCCACATAAAACAACACAGAAGATCACAGTCATTCCTAAAAAGAGGACACTACGGGCCACATAAACACACGAATCCCTTTTCAGACTGACACCGTTAGCTAAACACAAAGTGCTTCCTGATGCTACTCACAGCAACAAGTGCTTCTAGTGTAAAGAGCATGTCTGCTGATGTCTGCTGTCCACATGGCTAAAACTAACCCTGATCCCACAGCTTAAACTCATTACTATACAACCACATGCTTCACTGCCTGCTAATCATTTTCCATTTACTGTTCATCTCCTTCAAATTGTTTCCCTTCCAGCTCTACTGGTTAGACTGTATATAAAAGATGGCAGCCAAAATATCAGAAATCTGGCCTTGAATTAACTTCTTGTTGTTCTAAACTGTACTGACGTGGAAATGGTTCCTTGTTACCAAACTTTTAATTCAGTCTGACAAATTCATTCAGAGAGGTGAGGTTTCATTTTACAATCACGACGCTAAAAAACTAAACTGGTTCTTTAAGACAACGCACACATTCACACCCATTCTCACTTTAACACCCTGAGCTTAGTTAATGACATTCTGTTTTTGGGTCCCTTATTCTTCTGCTATTAATAATGGTATTCCTTTAGATTAAATTAGACACACAAACACAAAAAAAGAGGGCTGATCGTCACATCAACCAAACAATATGCTGTTTAACCTATCAGAAGCCGGACGGAAATACTGTAACCATGATGACAGAGCAAATTGTCATCAGCTGATCCCTCACTTTACCAAAAAGTTACACTGATCATTAAAACAAAAATACAACTTTCTGTCACAAATATAAAATATATCTTTTCCATGTACATATATCTTCATGTGTGCGGACTATTTATTTACAGACAGCTCATTTACACAGTCTGACGAGCAAGCAGCCATCACCTCACAGGAGATTCAGTCCTGGCAGAGAAAACATCTGAAGGTTCCCTCTGAACATCCAATTTAGGAGCCGGGTTGTGGAGAGAAAAAATAAAAGAAAAATGTCTTCAGGTCAGTCGGGTATTTTTAGTACTGGATGTACTCGGACTGAAGAGACTGAAAGAGAAAACAAACAGTGTGATTAACTTTAGGGCAAATGTGATCCCTGCATTTCCTGTGGGGGGCTTTAACAGAGCTGTTGGAGGACGATGTGGGAAAAGGAAATTCCAGATGAACTGACATCCATGAAATCAACTATAACAACCAGGGCTTATCTAAAACTTTTGTCCTATGCACGGTTGTTCATCATGATATTTACAATCTATATTGATCATAAACATCATGGCCACCTTAAAAGTCTGTACAAGAAAATTCAGAGTTCTTTCTAAAGTCATAGCTGAAAACATGAAAAGCTCTACAGTACTCTGGAGCTGGTTCATGTCACCAGCACCAACATAAATGTAGCTGGGAATGACATAACATGAAAGGGATTTTCTGATTGTGTAAAACTAAAATAAGCACACAGAGTTGTATCTACAGTGTCTTTGTGTGTTGCTCCCTGCAGACCATTTGCACTGTGCCTCTGCAGACATGCCCACATTTTTACAGCAGACACTGCTGCTCAGTTTTTCATTATTCCGAAAGCTCATTTTACACAATTGACAACGTTTTTCATCAGAAATATATGATGACAACATTTCTCTGTGCTGTGGCTAACATATATAGTCTCTGTCACAGTAGCATTGCATTGTCCATGTATGCCTACATGTATGCTAAAGCCCTCACAAATACCTTGACTAAGCAGCAATTTTATGAACCGTTCAGAAACCAAGCTGTACGCACAGTGCATGCTGCAAAAAACGAACCCTTAAATTTACTAACTCGTACAACCCCGTTAGAATCTCCATCAGATGCTTCCTGTAGCTGATTATAGTGCTTGCACAGTCATGAGGAGGAATTCTGGGCCATTTCCTGCTATTTCCTACAACTGTTTCAGTTCATCAATATTTGGCAATGTCTTGATTAGTAAGCCTTCTTAGGACTCAATAAGTAGGAGGTCAGCACTGTGACCTCCCACTGCTCCAAAACATTCATTTTTGCTGGTTCAACTGTTCTTAATTTCCCTAACATGCTGACATGTTAGGGAAATTAGCTTGTAAACTGCTGACTTGGCATTTTCCCCTAAAATTCCTGGATCCAGTTTTAAATGACTTGTTCACTCAGGCTCTGAGGTAACAAACGCTTTACAGGAGGGACAAGGTCTTGTGTTTTATGTGCAGAGCCTTAGGAGTTTGTGATCACACCTCATGAGGTCACATTTCTATTCTAGAAATCAGATTCATGTCAGCTGACTGGCTGCGCCGTTCTAGCAGCTTTATTTTCTTCTATTAAACCAGCTCAGAGTTTTGTTGCCTGTGCGCTTGGGATCGCTGTCTTGCTGAAATGTCCACCATCGTTTCATCTTCATCATCCTGGCAGCAGATTTTTATCAAAAATGTCTTGGTACATTTTTCCACTCATTCTTCCTTCAAATTATATGAAAACTGCCACTGCCGTATACTTAAAAGCCCCACACCATGATGTCCCCACCTTCAAACTTCACTGTTGTCTTTGGGGTGATATGCAGCGGCTTTTGGCCTCCAAACATGGTGTGTGTTATGGCATTCAAAGAGTTCAGTTTTGGTCTCATCTCACCAGAATATGTTAGGGCTCTTTGACAACAGAATTTTTTTCCCCTCCTCTGTCTGAAATCTTGCAGAGGCCACCCGGTCGTGGTCAGTTTATTGTGTAATGATGTTCTTTCTACTTCAGCAGTGCTCAGTGGAACTCACTGGAGTAGTGTAAAAATTCTAATGTAGCCAATGCCATCAGTATGTTTTACCCCTCTTGAGATGTTTCTTGTATGACTCTTTTGTATGAGACACCTTTTCATAGGCCATCAGTTGGCACTGAACCAGCTGATATTAGTTTGCACTAAGTGGTAGGATTGCTTTCTAATTACTGACAGATTTCAGCTGCTGTCATGACTTTCCATGCCTGTTTGCACCTCCCTTTCTTAATCAGTTCAATACTTTATCCTTTCTTATTATTACACATAATGTATGGATATCTACAGTTTCTTGAAGAAGTTTCACCTCTCATCTGAGAAGCTTCTTCAGTTCTGTGTGTGTGGGTTTCCCTGTAAGTCAACAAACACAGACCAGCATCTACTTTTTGACTCACACCACTCATCACAAACTTGGGAGTAATCAGGACCCTGCAGCACCGAGCAGAAAACATTCCCTCTAAAGCAGAAGGGAAAGAAAAGGAACACACCCCTGTAAAGAAAGCTCTTAAAACACATGGTTATCCCGACTGGGCTTTCATCAAATCAGGAAAGATGCACAGAAAACAAAGGTCAAATGACAAACAGAACAACATGGTCATCCCTTATGTAGCAGGTTTATCAGAGAAACCCAAGAGAATTTTGCATAAGTATGACCTCCCAATGTACTTCAGACCCAACCGCACCCTCAGACAAAAACTGGTTCATCCCAAGGACAAAACTCCCAAACACAAACTAAGCCACTTCACAAAGTCATGGCACAACATAGAAGAGCCACTTCGACAGGACAAGACTCAGCTGTACACTTGCATCTAAAGGTTAAAGGTCACTCTTTCAAGGATGCCAATGTTCATATTTTGGACAGAGGAGACAGACAGTTTGAAAGAGGAGTGAAAGGGGCCATTTATGCCCACTGTGAACGACCATCCTAGAACAGAGGGGGTGGTTTAGGACCCCAACTGTCTGCCACCAACAATGTAGTTTTGAGATCCTTTCCCAGGTGCCTTAACACCCACTCACATCTTGCATCAGGTGTCAATAGTTTACACGATAGGACGAGCTATCACAATGGTTTCCCCCGAAACCTCTGCTAATAACCCACATCCTTTTTGACACCTTGGCTCATGTGATGACGGACATGATCAATAGTGGGTCAATGACCCTCTTAAGAGACACACCCACTAGGTTTTAAATATCTGAGACTCGCCACCATTTGGTTTTAGAACTGAAGAAGCTACTTGGATGAGAGGTAAAACGTCTTCAAGAAACTTAAAGTCCAGTCACTTCTCTTTCCAAGCTCCACAGACTCAGACATAGACATATGTAGTTGGATTTCTTTGCATGTGTGGAGTGAATGTGTTGTTACTGACATCAGGTGAGAGTTTCATCTCAAGAACACCTTTAGAAATATATCTACTTAGAAAATTGGTGGCATGTTCAATGAGTCAATGATCATTTTACCTGCTGTATCCAGTTGTTAAACCTCTGAAAAAAATTTGATCATTGAATTTGGATTTGTCATCAAGCGCTGACGACTACATGTTCACACACAAACATATCCAAGTAACACCTACAACCCCCTCTCAAATGCGTTATATTCAAACTTTAGTTACAATAAGTTAACTCTTTTTAGGAACTGAGATCTGAGCAGGTTCCTCAGCTCAGCAGCAGCTTTGTGTTAGTGTGAGTGACGTTAACATGACTGAGAGAAACATAAGGAGCGAAACGCCACAGAAATACACCGATTCATACCTCCATTAACTAAACAACATCTTTGAAAACAGAGATTCACCAGGTTCATCATGATATTAAAAAGTAACGAGAGGATCATTAACATCCCACTTATAAACCCCCAAAATTACAAACAAACAAAACAAGAGTTCTAATGACAAGGTGTTTTTCAACCTGCAAATATTGCATATTGTATTAATAATTGTAAATCTTTGTCAATAATATGTACAAAATATTAAATCTTTAGGAGAACATAAAACACAATAAGGCATATAAACATATTTATTAGAATGGTTGTCAATTACTTATCTGTTAACAGACTACTGAGTTATTTACAGGCTTTGAGGCTTCTGTGTCTCAGCAGCTCATCCTATACCGTGTTGCTTTTTATGGGGTTCTATTTTGAAGTGGTGACACCTTATCATTTCATCCCTTGTTCTTGTCGTTACTGTCCAGTATGAACACAGATCAGATCAGAAACACCAGAGAAGGAAACGGAAAACAGCAGAGGTCATGGATCAGAAACACACTGGAAACATCAGCTATTAAACAAGCTGTGTTTTTACTGGCTGAGAGTCAAAATGTTCCAGAGCAACTACTGTACATTATTAACACACTTGGGGGGAGAAAGAGAAAAAAACAAAACAGAAGTCACAGATACAAGATTGAACTCTGTTTTCATATTTTGCTGTTGTAAACCTGCAGACTGTATGTAAAAGTATGTATCCCTGTGATGTCACTCATCCTCAGATTTAGTTGTTTGGCCCTTTCTTGAGCCAGCATGCATACACTATGCACAGACATACTGAGTAGTCAGTAGGGATGGGTATCGTTTAGGTTTTATCCGATACCGGTGCCAAATCGGTACTTTTGAAACGGTGCCGGTGCTTAAACGGTGCTCGAACCGGTGTTTGTCCAAAAACCTAGCTGTTTTTTGTTTTTTTTTGTAAAAAGATAACAATGTTAGCCTTTTCTGCAGCTATGGGGCATATATGGTATCACTCTTGGCTGGAAGCAGTGCTTAAACAATGGAAAAAAAACACAAACTTTGTCCAAAAACCTCTCATGTTCAGCTGTTTCCCACTTTTTCTTTGGTCATTTTAGCCTTTTTGTCCAGGGTGAAGGGAGTATCTGCCATCAAACAAGAGGACAGCCGCATGTAGCTATGATGATGTTTGCTAGTTCACCTTACATGCATTAATGTAATAACGTGGTTAGCCTACTCAACGTAAATTACACTCGAACAACATTAAGCGACTCACGCAGAGAAGAACGGCTGCTGCTGCCATCATCATCCTCATCATTTCTGCTACACTGGCAGGGCTAGGGGCCAGGACTCTATTCTTCGGGGTTTTGGGGGATGTTGCTCCGGGTCCGATAACTGGCAACCCACCCAACGTGCACAGTGTGAGGTCTCGCAGCAAGCTATCAAATACGGCGCATTTCTCGGCTTTTAAAAAAACGCTATGCCTCGCCAGGTGTTTCATCGGATTCGAGGTGTTACCTACGGTTACCTCCTTTGACAGTATCACAGTATCAGCTTAAAGCACTTGTTGCAGGCTGCTGAGTTTGCATATTTTGCTGTGAAGTACAACCAGACTTTTGACCGCTTCGCCTTGGGCATTTTTAATCTGTAGCTCTGCTCTAACTGAACGTATGTACCTGGCCCCGCCTACTATCCTGGGAAACGTAAAATGATTGGCTAGAAGTGTATCACAGCTCAGGAAAAAAAAGCACCGAAATAAAGCACCGAAATGTGCGCTGCTTTTCGGTCTGGTTACTACCGTTTATGTCAGAACCGGTGCCATCATGGCACCGGACACCGGTACCCATCCCTAGTAGTCAGTACTAAATAATCCACAAAAACTGGAAAGGAGCTATTCTGTGACTACAGGTAATTTGTACACCTGTCAATCAAATAAACCAGGGCCTTACGAGATTGAACTGAGCGACTCATAAATTTTTTTTTTAAAAATTTAAAAAATCAGTCACCCTGTTTAGCGGGTATGGAGGGTAAAAACAGTAAAGACCAAAACTATTTTGTGTAGCAGGTCATTAACCTGGTTATGTCATGGCTGAAGTTCACCAATCAAAGTCTGTTCATTTTGCAGCCCTGAGAGTTGCTGCTCAAGTGGCTTAAAGAAATCTGTTGTTGCATCCAGTGTGTTAGTGACATGAAAACAGAGAGCCAAGCAACACAGAGGGAGGGGCCAAGCTGCTGCTGTGTCAGAGGACTTACAGGTATGGAGCGGCTCAGGTAGCGTCCTGAGGGGCCCTTTGTTGCGCTGTAGGGCCCAGGGCCCCTGTAGGGCCTGAAGTCCTGAGGCCCTGGTTGAACCAGACCTTTTCCTGTAGGGGGCACTGCAGGGCTGCTGTATAGACTGATGTTGTTGTTGACTTCATGCTGTATGCTGCGAGGTCCATTACCATAGCGAGAGACAGATGGTGGAGTAAAAGATGATGATGGGGAGCTTAGAGAGATAGAAGACGAGGACGGGGGAGGAAGAGCGGAGTACAGAGTCTTCCTGTCCTTCTCGGTGTCAGCAGCGTACAGATCACTGAGAGAGCTGGCCAATCGAGAGCTCAGATTTGAGCTAAAGTCAGCAGGCAAACAACACACAAACAAATTATTACAACAAACAATACAGCTAATATAATGCAACACGTCTGCTCCATCTGAATTCAAGTCAGTGTAAAGGTGACTACACTGGTTTAAACCGGATTCCTGTTACTTTTGCTTAAATCCATTTAAATCCAGTTTAAACCTGAAACAGATCAGGTTCAATCAGCCATTGTTAAAACAAGTCGAAAATCAGCCAAGTACTTTTACTAAATGGTAAATGGACTTGTTCTTGTATAGCGCATTTCTACTCAGGGCACTCTTTTCGCAACTTCCCTCAATCACCCATTCACACACACTTTCTATCTAACATTCACACACATTCATACTTCACTGCATCAGACAACCCTAAGAGTTGTTGATCAAGTGCCTTAAAGAAATCTGGTGTTGCATGGGTTAGTATCTTGCATGCAGACTGGAGCAGATGGGACTGAACCACTAACTCTCCAATTAGTAGGTGACCTGCTCTACCACTTCAGCTACAGCCACTAGTACTTCTGACAGGTACTACAGGTAGTGTGTTAGTACTACAGAGCAAGAAAGGAGGCGAGTAGTGAGTTAAGATGAAAAGCAGTAGGTTATAAAGGAGGTGATGTGATGTAGGTGAGATGGGTGTGATAAAGGAGGTCTTTGGGATCACTGACCTCCTGATGTTTGACATTGTTGATGATGGACTCTTCCCGATCCTCTTGGCTGCAGCAGAATTGGAGGATGTCGGGTAGTTGGTGGACTTGAGTGGGGAAGTGGTGCCCATCGACAGTCTGGACACAGACACAAAGACGGTGATCAAAAGCCACGATTCCTATGTTCTCGTGTGCACTGAAGAAATCTGTAATATGTTTGGCTGTGAGGAATTGTACCTGAGTGGTTGTGAGGCTGATCTACTGTGCACATTTATCTCCTCCACTCTGAAAAATGACATCTTTGTCAATGCAGGCTCCGAACAAAACTTAAGACAAGACAGACTACATGCCAGTGCCTGAAAAATCAGCCTGCCACCTTTCAGCAGGGGAGCAGGGGAAGAAGAAGGAGGAGAAAGATAGAGGAGGGTTCACTTGTCCTGGTTTATAAGAAATACTTTTAGTTCAGTGCCAAGCAGTTTTTCGGGATTCGGAGCGCTTCCTCCAATCAGAACACGCACACTTAGGGCCATCCGAAAAGAGCCTGTGAGTTACTGCAGTGCAACAGTCTCTTGTAGCTTATTCCTTTAAGTGAAACCAATTTAATATCTCAGGAACTGCTTTAGGATCCCAGGAGCTCTGATGTTCTGTCCACATATAAAGCAATGTGCACACAGCCTTAAGGTGATGCTTGATTGCCAGTGGAAATTCCAGACTTTGGTTAACTAGTTAACCCTTTAATAAATTTACCACCCCCTCATATCTCAGTCAACAATATCCTTTGCTTTCACTGGTAGTCACTTCAATTGCTTGTGTGAAAGCTGAGAAAGTTTAACTCAGGTTCCTCCCACTTCGTGTATGTAATGATTATTTTGGCCACTCCTGCTTCATATCGCCCAAAGTGGTTGTAGTTGTCACAAGCTCTAGAAAAAGATGAACTATGAATCGTTTAAGCGTAAATTAACACACCTAACTCAAAGGCTGAACCAGGGTTGTGTCTACACATAATTATAATAATACATTTTATTTAAAAGCACCTTACAAGACACCCAAGGACACTTCACAATAAGAGTAAAAAACATAACAGAAGAAAGACAGCACGAAGAACACTTAAAAACAAGACAAAATAAACAATAAGTGCACATTCAATATGCACACTTGAACCGATTTCAAGGTTATAATCTGCCTGGGAGCAGAGCAACTGAAGGCTCTTCTTCCCATGCTACTGAGAATTTGCATATGATCAAGGAACTGACCTCCCAGCCCATTGTTCCCTCAGTGGTGCTAGTCTCAGTCATTATGCAGATGTACTGTTTATAAGCTTGGGGAAACCCTCAGTCAGCTGAGTCACTTGGATGAGTGACGAAACGTTTCTCCCACTGAAAACGCTACGTCTAGATGAACAGAATCAACTTTTGGGGACCCTCTCACAAAAATATCATCGCTGCACGGCAGGCTTTTTTCGGACGGCCCTAAGTGTGTGTTCTGATTGCAGGAAGGACTTCCAATCCTGAAAAATTGCTTGGCACTGAACTAAAAATATTTCTCATGAATAACAACAAGTGAGTAGTCCTCTCTCTTTCTCCTCCTTCCTCGTGACTTAAAATCATGTCATCAGACTGACCTCACAGCCCATTAGTTAGTCAGTGTTGCTAGTTTCAACCATTATGCAAATGTACCGCTTATAAGTTGGGGAAATGTGCAGTCAGCTGAGTTTGAAGAGATCACATTTTTCCCACTGAAAAGTTTCAGCTGTAATGGGTGGTACTGATTTGGTTAGCTTTTAGTACCTCAGGGCACTAGTAGTGGCTGGACGGGGGAAGCGTCGGCTCTTTAAGGCTCTCAGTTTGTCTCCCTGAGTCAGGCCCAGCCCACCGTCTGTTTGGTCACCCTGAAACATAAAACAAAAATACCGTATGACAGCTGACATGTTGCACTTCACAATAAGAATAAACTCACAATAAATAAATAAATGATGCTATTAACAATAATAATGACAGGATAATCATAATGATGTAAAAGAAAAACTAACGGCAAGTAAAGAATATCAATGAGTGCCTAATACCTGTGATTAAAAGTGAACCATCAACAAATAGCTGATCCTGACCGATCATTAGTCAAAGACAAAGCTCCTGTTTCCAACTTAATCCTATCACCAAGAAAAGCCTAAGACTAAATAGTCATGCAAAAACTAAACACCAGTTCAATCTTTAAAGCTCAATACACTTAAATAAAAGCGGGTCAGCTTTCAATGTTTAATTGTGCAATATTTTGGGAGTTTGTTGAATTACCTCACAGAAAATTCACTTCTTTGAAATATTGTAATGTGATAAGAAACACAAAGAAGAAACAAGACTTTTTTTTGATAAAGATCACATAATGTGTTTTGATTATGATTATGAATGCTGAAGTTTGAGGGTAAGGACAATTTCAGGTCACATACACAAAGCTTCTTCAATGTGCCTGTTCTGTGTGTGTGTCCTACCTCATGTAGTTGGTCGGAGCTCTGCGATCTGGACAAGTTGCCGTTAGGGTTTGTGTTGATGTGTGTAGGGTTTAATGTGAGCTCCTCCATACTGGTGATGAGATGAGGCATAGCCCTCTCCTCCTGCTTGGCTTTTTGGGAATGCTGATTGTCTCCGAGTGACCACAGCGCTGCCTGCTTCCTGTTAATGCAAACACACATCACTGTTAATGCTACAACTGGTTTTCTTTAAAGATCCTGCTTCACAGTTGCTTAAATTTTGTCTCATGCAAATAAAAAACTTATTTTGATTAATGTTTTTGTCGGATCAAGTTGTTGTCAGCCAGACCCTGGATCTTTTTGCTCTTTGAAGCTGTTGTTTGACTGATTAATATAGCAACAAAACCTTAAACCTATTTGTTTAATCTCAAATCTCTTGTGGGTTTGAAGGCTTATTGGATTGAAGAACCAAATAAACAGGATCAATATAACTAGGACAAACTGAGCCTTGTTTTAACTAACTTACAGACAACAGGACCCTGAACTGCAAACTACTATATCCCAACAAAACATTAATTTGTCACACTGGATAAAACATTGTTTTTGAAGTGATAGATCACCAATTAAAAAACTTAAGCAGTTAAAAATTTCATCTGTTTGTTGAGTAGCTGCAAAGCTCAGACTCAAACCACTATGTGCTGATTGAAATCTTCACCATGTTCAAACATGTGTTCACAGAAACTGGCCTAATGACAAAACAAACTGAGCTGCTCTATACTAGCCTGCAGTAACTTGGTAATCTGATTACAGGTTTTAAGAGCAAAACTGGATGGTCACACATTAAAGTAGTGTTTCAGATGCAGGATGAATACAAGATGAGGCTATTTTGAGGCACTATAAAATTAACTTTATTTTCAACAGTCACCAAAAACATAAAACTTAATATATAGAAGTCACCAGTTAAATCTTCTAAAAACTAAATTTAAAAGTCGACTGCCCTATCAGAAGGTTTCTTGAAAAAACAATGATATTACTATCACAATATTTTCTGTTTCACTTCTTTTGGTTTCTTTCTGGGAGTCAGTGCTGGTGGTCATGAGTATCACACCTTCCATTTACTTTCATGTGCTTCTCACATTTACTAGAATACCCGTAACCCATGATCATTCATGTAGACAGGGCAGAATGAATGTGACATTAACTTGTTGCACCATCTTGTGGTACAAACTGGCATTACACCAAATGATAGTTCAGTTTTTTTGTTTATTTCTTTTTTTTACACTGCACTTCTGTAGTAGATACAGTGGTGGTCAGAGCTTTACTTTCACAAATCACATGCATGGATGGCAAGGTATTTTTGGATGGTGGAATAATACAGACATCTTTTACGACTGTATTACTACTGTATTATAATTTTGGTGCACAAGTTTGAATTTATTTTGGATTTTCTTTAATGCACACAGAATCAAAATAATACATAGAGGCTCCTCCAAAATTTCTTTAGGAAGTTTTAGATGTCACAGGCCTTTGGTTACTTTCAATAATTAACAGTTCTCTCTCCACTGGCAGTGTCGCAGAATACTTAAAGACAGCCTCTGTACAACCATCATCAAAAAATATGGTCTTGATCCCTCTGACCACAACAATTACTGACCAATCTCAAAGTTACCTTTTATAGTTGCATCATGCAACTGAAAAAAACATTCGGGTTCACAGCACTGAGGCTGTGCTCGTTATGGTAAAATGACATTGTAAGTGGTGACACTGCTGAAACTGTCTTATCTTATATTAGGGAATGGATGTGTGCAATTAAAAAAAAAATCATTTAGATAAACTGCATCCAAGCATTAAGTCCTTTATCAGTTTATGCAAAATCAGCTGTCAGTAACCTGGGAGTGATATTCAATTCTAATTTCATCTTTGTGAAACATGAACAAGATCACCAGGTCCTGCTACTACCAAGAAATATCACAAGGACAGGATCACCTGAGAAGGAGAATTGTAGATTTTCACAAGTTGGGAAGATATTTTTCCGGACCACTTTCTAAAGAACCATACTTCCCAAGAGCATTACTTCCAAGAATTGTACAAAAGTACAACTTATTTGGATTGGCCGACACTTTGCCAAGGTCTGGACAACGAGCCAAGCTCTCACCCTCAGATGACAGGAAACTGGTGGAACACCAAGTTAAACACAGTGTCCCTATCCACAGTGAAGTGAGTATTGCTTCAGGATGGACTTGGAGGGCGCCGACCGGGGCACTTACTTCAAAATGAACACATTTAAGCTTGACTGCAATTTGCAGCTGCGCACATGGACAAGCCAAATGCCTTCTAGAGAAATGTTTTATGGTCAGATGAGAAAATGCCTGAGCTGTTTAGCCAAAATGACAGGAGATATGTTTGGAGGAGTAAAGGTGAGTGTTTCAAACGTAAGAACACTGTACCAACTGTCAAGCATGGTGCTGCTCATGCATGCTCTGGGGCTGTTTTCCTGCCAGTGGTACTGGTGCACTGCATAAAGAGGATATAATGAAGAGGAAGAAGAACAACAACTACCTCAAAATTATTCAGCTTCAGCTGAACTCAACAGCTAGATGGTTAAAACCTGTGCCCCCAATCTTTTTTTTTTGTTTGTTTTAAATACGATGTATGACTATATAATCATTCCACCCTGCAAAAAGAGCAGCTACAAAAAAAAAAACAATTAAAAGCCCAGAATTTCAGTAGCATTAATGCCCACAGTGAGTATATGTAAACTTACCAAAACTATAGATGTTTGTGGACAAAATATGAGTAAATTTTGGAAGCAAGTTAGTTTGATGCATCATACAACTGAATACTGTTTATCTTTGCATCTTAAGAATTTGTTTGTTGTTCTTTCTGAAAGATGAAAACACTCACAAAAATGAAAGGCAGAGATACAATCAAACAAATAATGAGAGACCTACTCCTCTAAGAAGTTCTGCTGGGGTCCAATCACAGAGCCCGGTCTGCAGATCCGTATCCATGCGATGGCCTCACCTGCTGTGAAGCGGTAATGTTTCATCAGGTAACAGCCAATTAGAGTTCCCGTCCTGCCCAGACCAGCTGACAGAAAGACAAAGAAGTGAACCAGTGAGTCAGCAGAGAAGTATTAAAGTAGACTTCAAACAGCCTTCTTGTTTGTTTCTATCACAAACTCTGTGGATGAACACCACTAACTCACTACACCAACTGCAGATAAGTACCACATGCTAAATGACAATAGACTGGTCACTTCCCCTAAACTTCTAAAGCCCGCCTGAAGGGTCTAGGGATTTGGAAAAATCCCCTCACTTGCTCCAAAATGTAAATATTAGGGCTGCAACGATTCATCCTGCCTGCTCAAGGCTGATGCCAGCCATCCTATATTACATATAGCCTTACCTGCAGCAAACAGGGGTAAGTCTAAAGGGGGGCATGGGGTGTATTACATCATATTTATTTCAAGGTATTCATAATACTTTTTCAGATTGAAAGTGAAATAATATAAAATACTGTGTTAAAGGTTTTTTGTTGTCGTTGTTGTTTTAAACAAGTTAATAAAAAGCCGTGAGCCAGTAAAACTGTGAGCCACTGACCAGGGGGGGTTTAGGTTGGACACTGAATTATTAATAATATTAATTAACATCTACACCATCAGAACCAGATAGAGGACAGGACATACCCTTGCAGTGGACGGCCACAGCACCATCTGTATTCTCACAGATGTGCAGAAAGCGCCGTGCGATGATGTCGTTGGGTGTGGTGCCATCTGGGAAGAAGAGGTCGTAGTGGCTGAAGCCTGCATCAGTGAAGCGTTTGGCGTCGTAGATCTTCTTGTTAAGACGGATGATAGTAGTCACATTGTGTTTTCTGAAGTATGGGAAGTAAGCCTCAGGAGCATGGAGAGGGTAACCTGCAGTAGGCAGAATGACAACAGATGTCACTTACATCCTTTAATGCTTTTGTTTCATTGGGAGAGTAGATTGGCCTGACTTTGGTCAATGTAATCACACCTGGTTAAGCTGTGATGCCACATCATTGTCATTTGACTCGGAACACACTATATATGGTTTCTGCTTATTTGATCCTGGTGTATTTGCCTCTTTTCTCATTTCCTAAGGAGAACAGAGGTGACGAAAAAACAGTCTGTATTGCAACAAAGAGAAAGAAAAAAAAAGTTCACTGCTCTATTGCTTCCTTTACCTAGAAAGGTACAACCTAACCCGGATCCAAATAGGTGAGTGCATAAACTATTGCACTAACATGAGACCATTAAAGACAATACTCCTTGGGGTTGCATGAAAAAGCTCAGCAGACTTTTACGCCAGATCCCCAATCTGCTGTGGTGGCCTGTTTGCATAAGCACTTTAATATCACTGGGTGACAAACAATCTACCCAAGATTTTAATGAAGATTCCCCTTGCAGGAAATTTCAACTGATCAACTTCTGTATCGGGCAGTTTTGAATAGATATGTAATTCAGTTCCTCCGCAAATATGAATTAATAGCCCAACTCATCCCAGGAAAATAATCATTTACCAACTTTTTTCTTACTTTATTAGCACTAAACATAAATATTCCTAAATGTTTTTGTAAATGACATCCTTCAACTTGACTCAACTCTACTGTTTCCGTTGTTTTGCATTAAAATTGAATACCACCTCAACGTGTGGACCGTTATAGCGATGCATTTAAAAGTTGTGGCATCATTTGTATGTGACACAAAAACAACAACAAGGGCGGATGTCGAGGCGATTGTACGCCTGCTTTTTTTTTTTTCAGGCTCTGGGACCACGCTGTTCGGTTTGGCCATTTCCCTTACTGCTGAGTTTCAAAATTTGCAGTTTGGATTTTCATGAAGGAGTCATTCTTATGATCACTGAGTGACTAGCCAACCAGTGGCATACAGTGTATAATTTCACATTTTCAGATAGATTCATGAACTAGGTACCAAATGGAAAACCATAGTGGGAAGGGCTGAGGGAGAGCATGGATCTCCGCTACACGCTTAACCAAGACTAAGACTAAGTATGTATTATTGTAGGGTCTACCTTACAATATAAAGCACCACGAGGCAACTGTTGTTGTGATATGGCGCTGTATAAATACAATTTAATTGAACTGAATTGAACTGAATTGAATGAAAGCAATTAACAATCAGCAATCTCTCTTTAAGACAGCCTTTTGACCAAATCTGTCCCCGGGCTTCAAACAGGGAACAGCACAGGGCAGTTGATAACGTGGGAAGATCCCACAGTGGCACAAGCAGGCTAGAAGTTTACAGAAAATTACAGATTTCATCTGGCTATTGGTGAGTGCAAAACTAAATCAACTGGTCTGAAATGAGAAAAAAAATATGAAACAGTAAAAGTTGTAAAGATTTAAAGAGTTAATATGGCTAATGAACAACAGTTTATCTATTTGAAGTGTTTAGATGTACACAGCTTACAACTTGTAAAAGTGAAACTCCGTAACATAAACTGTTAACCCTACTGGAGTGTGTGCATGTGTGTTAGACTGAAGATTGTAAGAGTGAATGAGAGCCCCAGCTGAGTAGAGACAGGGATGTAGTTTACATATATAATTATTAGAGACTGAAAAGATCTATTAAAAAGAACAACAACAACAACGAAACATCAATTTCCCTCATTTGCTGGTGATTTCACCAATATTTACAAGCTAAAGGCATTTGTAGTTTACACATTATGCAACACAGTAAACTTATACATCTCTACTAAACGCAGGTGGATGTTAATTTGTCTTTGATATGCCTTTTTACATAAAAATTAAAGATTTACTTTTTTTTTTGGTTATTATTTTGTGTGTTACATAACATGACACAACACGACAACGCCAATACCGCCTAGGCCATTTCTATGCCATGTCTACCAGTTCACCACCAGCTCATCACCATGACAGCCACTCACTGGGAATGAAGACTGCTAATGCTTGAGAGAGGGTCCTGGAATAGGAAAGACCCCATCTAAAGCCCACTCTGTCAACATGAAAACCAGGCCTGTTGTACCTACATGCCAGGATACAGAGAAGCCAGTTCAGAAACCCCTTCAACACTTCACTGATGCTTTTGCAGGAGAGGAGTATGTGACCCCGCCATACTTCAGACCTATGCTACAACCATTTAACACTAGTCTCCTGGCACCCAGAGACGGGGATAGTAAGCTGTGTAAATCCGGCATTGTGGTAGTAGCATCTGCTACTCAACACACTCAATACAAGCACTAGCTACAGGACAGTGTTGCTACTTCTTGCGAACTAGTATATAACTGCAGCATAACAAAGTTCCCAGTGACTGCATTGTGCACTCAACTGTGGACATCTGTGAGTAGCAAGATGAGATTTTTGAATGTCATCTGACACCATGTCACCCTATTATATAGGATTCCCTAGTTCCTCCTGACAGGAGCATTGCTGAGCCAGCCAATAGGGCAAACTGAGCATTGTATGGCCCATTGGCCACATCTAGTCCCTTGGTTGTTGCTGACTGGCCCACATGAGGTCAATGGTAAATTAAGATTTAAAGTACATAAGTATACATTCATGCAGTTTGCATGCAGTCTGTGGCAAATCACAACACAACTATATAGAAGACTACTGTTTTTTTAATTTACTAATGGATGCATGAAGATGATTGTAGGGTTTTTACTAGAGATGGACCGATCCGATATTACGTATCGGTATCGGTCCGATACTGACGTAAATTACTGGATCGGATATCGGAGAGAAATAAAAAAATGGAATCCGATCCATTAAATATAAAAAAAAAGCACCTCAAAAAACTTGCGACACGGCGTAACTCGGCTCATAACCATAGCACGTCGGAGCAGTATGCATCACGTGATAGAGCGGCTGTGTGTATTTGGAGCCTCGCTACCAAACCAGCATTTCATCTCCGAGGAAGTTATCCCCGAGAGAAGTAAAGCAAATGCTTAAGTTCATCTCTGAATGTTTGTAAAGCATTCCCACGTTAAGCTTAACAACCGATATATGGAGCGAGTGTCTCTCTCTCCCTCCCTCTCCTGCTGCTACTTCAATCATGAAACTGCTTAATGATCAGCTGATCGGCTTTTCTGTCACAAGTCCATCTCTCTTCTTTGTTTTTGGTCCACTTCGCGCCAGAAAGAGGAAACAAGCGGCTGAACAACAGCAGCACGTTTAAGCTTGATAAGCTGCTGTTAGAATTGATTTAATATTACTTTCTACACCAGGATCTTTTTCTACGCAGCTGACGGCTGGTAACTGTGCAGGGGCGGATCTAGCAAAGTTTAGCCAGGGGGGCCGATAGGGCATGAACAGGGAAAAGGGGGCACAAAGACATACTTTTCTTTCTTATTCTCATATAAAATGTCGAGCTTTTAATAAATAATTATCTGAATCTTACACCCAAAGTTTTAATCTGATGTAAAATGTATGGAAGTCCATTACTGTATACAGTAACTGTTAAGTCTAATATACCCTCGTAAGCTATAGTATTTTTCCCTTTGGGAAGATACCATCTGTGCAGTCTGCAAATCTGTTGAAGAAAGATGTTGAATCTATTTAATTATTCTTGAAAAATAATTTATTTCTGTGCATTTTATTTTTCCACACTGCGTCAGATTAAAGTTGATTACGTCAATTAAGCATCATTTTGCTGGGCGTTTGCAACCCTATTAGTTAGATTGCTTAATATTTCTGCTAAGTACTCTTTAAAATACCAGAATAGGGATGATGGAGTAGGTTTAAGTTTATTAGATTGATCAGTTTTGCTGAACTATGAAATATTTTGGGTGCAGTGTATTTTTTTTTTTTTTTTTTACATACAGGTGTAACAGAATAGCTTTAGTGTTGTTGTTTATTTAAACTTGAGTATGAACTTATACAAAATGCAGCAAGATATTAAAAAAACATTTTTATTGATTAAAAAAAAACACTATATCAGATTCATATCGGTATCGGCAGATATCCAAATTTATGATATCGGTATCGGACATAAAAAAGTGGTATCGTGCCATCTCTAGTTTTTACTAAAATATGGAATTTTAAGTATTTATTTTCTGTCATCGGCAGCAACATAGCCAAGCGCTTAGTTTGTGGAGAACAGAGAGCTGTGTTTCAATCACTATGAGGCCCAATGTGCAGACAAAATACAAGAACCTGACTGTTTGCAAGCGGGAACCACACAGCACACAATGCAACGGACGCTTACGTCGCCTTCTGCAGATGGTGGGCCTACAGGTATGTGGGCCCATGTCCCTTTTCGGGTTGTGCCCGACCGGGCCCTACAGACTATGGACCAGCCACCAGTAGCTTACCCTCAGGCACCCTCCCTGGGCCTGGCTTGAGGGCGGGGGCCCTAGTAAGCCTATCCCAGGCAAAGTGAACTGTTCCCTGGATCTTCTGCTCTTAGGGGTTTTTGAATCATTCAATTTGCCATGGGAGACACTACCAGGGGGCAAAAACATTTCACATTTTCCAATGCCTAACTAACGTCTACTCTTACCAGTAAAAGTTTATACCGACACAAAATGAATACTGAGCAGACTGAGTTTATCTTATTGCCCCGGACCTCATAATTCGTGTAAATTAAATGCTCATCCCTGGTATACCCCAGCTGAGGTAATGGTATCTGACCTTCTGATGATGTAACTGGAGGTGTTCTAACCCTAAACCCACTCCACCCCCCATTTCCACAACCGACCAAATTGATAACAGACAAGAAAATGATAATATATGCTAAAACAACACACACCCGACTCCCTTGCTATTGCAGAAAAGACAGGCTGCAGTCTGAACACGTTCACTCACCGTTCTCAACTTTAGTTTTAGGATGAGGACCACTGAAGGCCAAAAACTTTCCTGGTACAATCCAGTTCAGATCTCCATTCTCCACGCGCTGCCAACAAAAAAACAACAACAACAAAAAACCTTTAGAAGATGTAGTCAAAATTCCATTAAGAGTAAAAGCAAGCACACACATCAGGTTAACAAAGCTAATTACAAGACTATCAGTTATTTAGATCATGAATGAATGCTTGCAGTTCTACGCAAGAAATGATGATGAAAATCCTGAATATTTGTCAGTTAAATTTTAACTAATAATGCCCTGAGAGCTGTACTTAATCAAATTAAGAAAATTACAAATACGAGTGGTAGATGCTGTTTATGTAAACAAGGGGAACTTCCTGTATATTTATGTGTATTTCCATCAATATTTGATATAGATAAGAAGCGACAGGGGTCTAAGATGTACCTGTGTGCCAAGCTTGCTTGCTCAACTCATGATTTTGTGCATTATAGTAAGATTCTTTCCATTCTGCAAGGAGTGCTTTTGTCTACATAATGTGAGAATAGTAAACATCCTTTTAGTCTGCAAAACAAACACGCTGAATTTTGTATTAATTTTTGGCTGACTTTCTTTAAAACAAATCTTAATTCATTACAAATGTAGACAGAACTCAGTTGGAGTGACTCTCTTCGTGTTTTGCTTTGATGTCTAAAGTTATATGACTGTCAACCAGGCTCAGATTGGTTTTTTGTCTTTCTAAACCTTTCCCTTCTAACTGAATTTTAAAGACTGACTTGATGAAGTAAACACTGGCAGCGGCTGGCAACTAATGATGCGAGTATTCATACCTCATAGTGTTCGTACTCGTCTACATCAAAGGTTTCGAAGTTGAAGAAGCCATGCTGCAGAGCCTGAAACACAGAATGATTGACTCTGTAAACAACTGAACAGAACTGAGGGCAGAAAGATCGGCAACAAAGCTGCAAGATGGCTGCAGTAATGGTCTAGCAGAGCAATAAAATATAAAGATATAAAAGATCTAACAAAAATGTTAAAAATGTAGAACTCAGTACATTACAAGAGTAATTTGATCTATGTAAATGTAACGTGTGTAAACTGTACTATAGACACTAAAAGAAACAGAAAATGTAATAATGCCCACAGAAAAAAGGTAGTGTGGAACATCTACTGTGGGAAAAAAAATGTCATTAATCCAATAAACTAAGATTTTAAATTCAAGTACTCAGCAGACGGCACATTGACCTCACCTTCCTGATGCCCTGCAAGCAGTCCAACACAGTCAGGTTGAAGGTGCAATTCCCAAAAGAAGCATCCCTGCAGAGATACATATTGTGAAGACACCATACATTCACATAAATGGCCTCCTTGACTGCCCGCCCAAACCAACGTTCCTCCCACCACCACATCCTAGTCATTGAGAGAGCGTCCACTGGCCTGAAGGTGTGTATAGACTGCGTAGTCCTGACCTGATGAGTTAGCTTTTATCTGCTGCGCTTCGCCAGAGGTTGTTTGGTTTCCCCGATGTATAAATCATGGCAATCCTCCTGGCACTTCACAGCGTACACTATATTACTCTGTGTTGGGAGACCCGATCCTTGGGGTGCACCAATTTTTGGCGCAGCATGTTTTGGGGTTTAAAAGACACAGAGACGCTGTGTTTAGAGAAACTGTATCTTAACTGTTCCGAGTCCTGACATATAAGGGATCGCTCCAGGTTTTCGCTTATGCAGCAGTTTTCCTTCTTTTATTGATATGTACACCATCCAAGTTTTAGGTGACCATGTCCATGTGGGTATTCCAAGAAGTAGGTTTGGCTATCAACTCTGAGTTTGTTAACCCTGAGATGAGGGACACTCTGGTTTTCTGTTCCAGAAAGAGCATCAACTTCAATCCTGAATCAGTTACCAGGGTAACACACACCTTCAGGCTGTTGAAGGTTTTCTTCAACAGCCTGAGTTTCCCTGACTCCTCCCCTCCTGCTGCACCTGAACCAGCTGACAGACATCAATTCATTTCATCATTCATTAAGTTGCTATCGGGGTGCATAGGTGAGTCAATTAATTTCCAGAAGTTTGTTTGAAACAAATACTGAAATCCATTTTGTGTATTTAACATGAACACTTTTACAGACATTCTGTCATCATTTATTTATACACTGATTTATAATAATCTCAGAATAAAATATAAGTAGTCTCCATCATTTTAATTGTGACTGTGTGAATATGAATGCACCTGTCAACCTGTTTTTAGTTAAATGTGAAACTGTGACCATCAGGGAGCCCATCATCTGTTAATGAAGGGTGATATTAGATTAAATTATAAATGCTTACACTGGGAGTTTGTCTTTAAGCATTTTTATCCAATAATGGAATTCTCTATTACTATTATTGGAATTGTTCATAAGCAGAAAAGTTTTATTTATTTATTTTTAATAAAACAGACCTGAGGGCAGAGCCACTCTGGGTAACTAATACCAGAGGTCCATCAGTAAACTGTGTCTGATCCATTTTTCCACATTCAGATCTTTAGTTTCTGTTTTCACACGTTTTGTCGCTCTCTTCTTACAGCTGAATAATTACATTTAGAATCAAAAGTAAAATTAGTATTTAGTTTTATCTAATGAAAATTCTTATTGGCCTAAATCATGAAAGCAGAGCTGTTGCAATTTAAATATTATATAACAAACTATGAATGAAATAATGTGTTTTGGCTGTGATGATGACAGAGTGGCCCAAACTGATTAAAATGACTCTTCTTCCCTCCTGTTTTTATGGATGAATATCTTGGTCAGCACTGACGTGTGTTCATATTCCTCGGTTCATTGGATTAAAATTGAGGCGCTGCACTTTATTTACTATTTATTTAACAAAAAAAACAACAAAAAAACAACAACAACAAAAAAAAAAAAACAACACACTGCTCCAACATCTGGTGTGGCAAAAACAGACATGTCATTTTTATTTTAAACATTCTTCTTATTTCTGTTCAGACCCAGACACCCAAGCTGCACCTCCAACAGATGGCCTCAGTCTTTAGGAGTAGTGTTTGCTGCAGCTGCTTCAGGGGTCTGAATCCTTTATAGCTACAACTTAATGGAGCTGTGATCAGACACTGAACGTTTCACTACTAACCCTCCCTGGAAAGGTGGGCCCTACCCATCATGTTTAATCCATTAGCAGCCAGGTGAGACCTCAAAGCTTCACATGAGGCCACCAGAAAAACAGAGTCCTCCTCCGTTCAACAGCACGCTCAGCTGTTATGTAACAATTCAGTGAGTGACAACAAGAAGTCCTTTATTGTAAGCACGCACTCTTACACAGAGCTCATCTGCTCTGGGTCGGTCTCTCAGTGACTGTTAGCTGTGGTATACAAACTGCTAACACCCTTCACTTAAACGATAGCTGCATCCCTAAACTTATTTTAGTAAGAATGACTTTTGTTTTATTAATGACAAATATTAAATATTCAGAGGAAAACCACAGGTCTTTTAGAATAAAAGATAAAATAAGATTCTCACACACACACACACACACACACACACACACACACAAAATCTAAGCTAAGGACTAAAAATGTACCTTACTCTGTGTTCTTGGAAAGCTTTTCGACATCAATAGGAGGACATTGTGCTGAAATGTGCTGAAAACACATTATGGTGGTGTCGCCATTAATTGTTAAAAATAATAATTTGGTGTTGAATTTGTGTTGAAGTTTTTTTTTTTAGTTTTGATTGGCTTAGCGTTAGTAGACATGTTTGTTGACATGACCATAATAGAGTGATAAAAATTAGATTTGGGGGATTTTGGGCAAACGCTACCTTTCTACTTTTGGATATTCAACATTGTAACCGTACAGCTTTGGTTTAATGCCACAAAATAAGATAATCCCATCAAAATAAAGAAATTTGCATCTCAATACTGATACCAGAGAAGTCCTCTGAAAATATTTTATTTTATTAAACTTCCACAGAGATAATAATGCATTCAAATTATTAGAAACAAATAGTGCTACAGTAGAAAGCAAAAGTGTATAACCAACATATGCTTTCTACTAGCCAAGAGCATTGTAAGGTAGGGGCGGCTAGGTCGCCAGCCTGAAGACAGATCTGTTGTTGTTTGCTTCACAACATTTAACTCAGCTCATAAGAACACTAAATACTATTATTTCAGACAAGTCACCATTTAATGTTGGAAATGCAGCACACAAATGGAATAAAAAATTTGAATCAAATTCTTTTTTTGAATCAACCTTGTCATGTTGTTTTTTGTTTGTTTTTTTTAAATCTCCAACTTGAACTGCAAGTTATGGATCTTCAACAGTGCTGGTACAGATGTCTAGTATGGTAAATGTACTTGCTGCAGTAATACTACTGTTGAGAGACTCACCTGAAAGGCAGGTAAGCAGCATTTGAGCCTGAGATCAAAGCTCTGTAGGCTTCTTCTGGGGTCTTCTTCAAGTAAATCACCTGAGGACAGATATTAATAGAGAATGCATTTAAAAAAAATGCTGAATGTTTTTAAGAAGCTAAAAATTGATACCAAAACATAGTTTTGTACAACTTTAGCTATAAAACGGATCAGAATGATGACGGAAGAAGCTGAAGATTTAACAATTGTTTAAGGGTTTATTTCAATGTAGTGACAAGATAACGTGCACAGAAATCACAGACTGATTAAATGAGGCGACAGGAACTGAAATGTGGAGAATCCAGCAGCACTGTTCACTGAGTCATGAGAGAGTCTCATTCATGAAAATCAAAACCACCTTTTTTGAAACCTGGAAATGACGGAAGTGACTACAAAACAAACAAACAAACAAACAAAAAAAAAAAAATGCAGTAATCCACGAGTCTAACGAACACACCGTTGTGTTTAGCGCTGTCTGCTGCTGTTTTGGGAGTTCCCCCCCAAAATTACCTCTGACAAGAAAGCCTCATTTCTGCTCTTTAATACAGAAGAATTTTAAACTTTTACAAATGATGCCAAATTGCAAAACACTTAGCTCGGTCTCTAATAAAACCTCTGTAACTTTGCTCTGCTTCACTTAAGCAGCATCAGGTAATGTTCATATGCAGATTCATGGTTTTCTTCCATTTTTCATCTACTGCAGAATGTTTTTAAGGTGGTTATCGGCTATAAAAAGCCAGGCCAGGAAAATCTGCTTCATGTTTTTTCTGCATTTTATCCTCAGTTACTTTGACACAAAGGCATCTGCTGTGATGCTTATACCTCTGAAGTCTCACAAGTGTCAGCTTTGTTTTTAATATGGATATGTACTGATAAATGATCAGAATTATAATATTTCTGACTGAGTCAATATTGAATCAAATCGAGACCTTGTGAATCAGAATCAAATTGATTATAGAAATCAGTGGCTTTTTTCCATCAGCCCCATTGCTGATGGACAGAAGCATGTGCGCAGTTGATATCCATTAGTGATATCCATTAAAGAACAGTCATAATGAACACTTTGAAGATTATTACTGAGTTTTTGTAGATTACATTTTTTCCCCATTTAACAACATCACTGCTGAGTATTTGGTAGTCTAAGGAGCTTGGAAAGTATTTGGTACACTTTGTCCTCTTTAGTGTTATGCACTTCTGGAAGTAAATTAAGTCAACTTAAATGCCTTAAGCCGAATTACACCTTACATAGTTTGAGATCAAGTGCACCTATTAATGGGCCTGCCCTTCCATTGTGTGCGTGTGCCGATGTCACACAACTGACAAATTAGTTCAAAACACTGCAAAGATGATCAAAAACAAAACACATGTCATTTGTTCTTCTTTCCTTAACTTTTTGTTTGTTAGCTTCACCTCTCCTATGAAAAGCTCTGATTTATACACAAAGATGGATAAGAAGCAGAGATGTACTCACAGCATAGCCACCAATCAGCACAGCCGCGTTGGATCTCTTCCTTTGATCGAAGCTGGTGTAATGAACAATTCGCTTCCTGGTCAGTGTGAATGACTGCCAACAACAAGAAAGAACCCACGGTTAAACAAAGTGGACATGAAACAGTAAATGCATAAAGACTAATTTACACCATGGAGCCCTGCTCTCAAAAACTGACATATATGTAACTGTAGCTGGAATTAAGAAATAAGTGTTTAAAGTTGAGTTTTAAAAACATGTCTAGTGCCATCTTCTGTTAATACCAAACGTTAAGTCATCAGGTCGGTTAGTTGGTTGCAGTCAGACTTACATGGGTTTATGTTAGAAAAGTAGTAACAGAACCAAAAACGCATGGGTCACTTTGTGCTGCACCCGGCTGTAAAAATGAGTTTTATGTTATAACTGAGGATATACTGTCCACTTTCACTCTTGCTCTTTAAGCAGTAAGTGCTTCTTCATTGATTGGGTAGCTGCACCGAAATGGTAAAATCCATCTGTTAGCCATCATGTTTAGTTTTGTAAAGCACCTTAAAAATGAGGACTGTTTTGTTTTTGCTTGCACGTCTGTCGGGTAAGTCCTGGAAAAGTTTGAGGCTGCAGTGCACAAGTGAAAGCATGTTTTCTCTCAGTCTGAAAGGAAGCAGGCTCAGGACCACTAAACCTGCTCCCTTTGTGTCAGATCAGATCTTGTGTTACCACTGTCAGCAGAAGACGTGCTGCCTGGTGTTGGATGAACACGTAGCACAGATCAGTGTTTATATGGGCGTTTTGAGAATGAACATGGGCTGTGGATCCAGATCGTCCAGTCAGCTGGACGTCATGACAAATGACAAGAAGAATGTAATCACTGTGGCAACGTGCAAACAAAAAACAGAAGTTTGAAGTCAGAAGGAGGAGTGGAAATAAGATGACACAATCTCACAGCAGGTTCACTCTGTGGCAGTGAGTGAACCTGCTGTGAGATTGTGTCATCCTGCATCTGTCCTTTTGCATTCTGGGAATTCCTGCACAGGGTGAGGCAGCAGTAGAAACTCACCTTGAGCTTCTTGTTGAGCTTGCAGCAGTATCGGTACAACATGGCCAGGTTCAGAGGCCCAAAGTCTGCGTAGAAGCTGCAGACACAAAGGACAGAGTATACAGTCAGTCAGACTCCTGCTGGCTGAAAAGGAAAGTGATACAGAGAGTGAAAGTCTCCATTTAAATTCCTTAAGTATTTCTCCTGTAAAGGGGTCACGCTTCAACATTTCAACTGTCCAAGCAGGACTAACTTCTTTTAATGTTCAGTCAGGCCTCTAAAATTTCCAGTCATCAGCATCCAGAAAAGCACTCAGTTGCTTTTATCCCTTTTATTTCATTAAAAAAAAAAGTAAATAAATAAATATTACACTGTTGAATGCATCTCACTTCTTTCACCTACTATGCGTGTGCCAGGTTACACATGCACAGCTCAAATCCTTGGTACACTCTTCAAATACAACATTAATATACAATAAATAATATACAATAAATCCCATTCTGATTCTAAACACACTCATTGACAAAGCTGGTTACAAATGCCTGGCTTTGCAAGTTGTATATAAAACACACATAGTCAGAATGCAGTGCAGCAGGTGTGATATACTTACTTTTCATACACAAACTCGTCATCAGTGCAGAAGTAGTGTGTGTTGGCTGTGCTTTTGGGTTTACTGCGTAACGTGGCGAAATACAGGCGCTCTGTTAGAGACAGATATGAAAGGCAGTTAGATTTGCTGATTGTGGAAATCACTGCCTTTCCATTGTATACCACAACTTGCTGATAAGTTTTAAACCTTCAACGCTTACCAATAAACACACAGGTCAACTATGGGCATTCTGCTTCTTCTGCTTTTATGTTGTGCTGTTCCTGTATGTCTACAACTCTGAAATGAGGGTTTAGGAAGCTCCTCTCTATGTAAAGAGCTTAGCTTTATTTTTATTTTTTTAAACCCACAAGAACATTGTAGTGCAACACAGTCTGGACTGATTATTGCTACAGTTTGATCTTCTGGAATTCTGAATTTAACTTCAGAGATAATGAAAGCCTAATAAAGGCAGCAGAAAAGGAAAAAAAATGGGGCAGAGTGAGCAACATTTTAGGTCCAAACATCTCATTCATTTCTGAAATCCAAACCTTAGTGATGAAGCATATTTTTCACCCTCTCATCCTTGTTTATACACTAGTATGAGACACAGACACACACTCAAAAGATGGCATTGGTTTTATTGCTTTGTTTTCACCAGCTCTTTCACTCTGCTTATCAGCTCTGAGTGATGCACTGAGTTATTTAGTTACACACAGTAAGCTTACAATGGATTTCAGAAAATTCGATTTTTTTTTTTTGTTTAATTCATAGCAAAACTGATCAGTGTTACTGGAGAGGGAATACAGTGTAGAACTCAGTGTAGAAAAACTTTTTTATGCAATGCTTGCCTCTCCACAGTGACCTTTCTGTGTGCACGATGAATCTACTGGTATACGACAAACGACAAGCTGTCATCTCTGTTTAAAACACGGAGTTGGCAGCCCTGGGGACTCCAAACAGTGCAGAGGATAAGGAACTAATCCAAGGCTAATTCTACAGAATGCTGCTGCTAGGTGTACAGCACTGTTACCCTCTTTAGAAGCATCGATGACTGATCAAATCTGAGAGGATGCCACAATCTCTATTTCAGCTCAGTAGGCGCTAAGCAAAGTTATCCATCAACATCACTTTATATAAAACCAGTCACCAATGGAAACAATCACTAACCTGCTGTGTAATGGTATAAAGTTGATTTTCTATTTATAGGATTTTACTTTTTTTTTTTTTTAACTTGACAAATCCCAGTTCTCCGTGGAGTTGTGACAAATAGTTTAACAACTATGTATTGTGCTTTTTTGTCCCCTTGTTAACTCTGTAACAATACTGTTAAAGTTACCTTTGATAAACTCAACGGCTCCCAGCAGCTCAGAGTCCTGGCTCATCCTGAACAAGGCAGACAGGATCGGGGACTGTTTTGCACCCGCCACCGTCACGGATCCGTCTAACGCCTGACCTGTCTTGGCTCCGCCTGCTATCTCCACGAACTTTTCTGAACTGCTAGCAGTTCAATAAGCCGTTAGCGGGCTAGCAGGCAGCTGAACAGAGTTTTAACTAAAGTTAGAAACTTTCACATTAGTTCCACACTGGTCTTTTCAGCTTCTCCCCTCGAAAATACTATCCTTTCTACTCATTGCTTTCTGTTTTATAACGACAAGTATTCTCAGCCTTCATATTAGCATGTTAGCACCACTCGACGACGATCCGACACTCTAAAACTCAGATTGCCTAAATCCCTCCTTAAGACACGTTACTGTAGCAACGGGAGCCGCTCCCATAGCAACGACAGCCAATCACCAAACAGAACATGCTGCCTTTCTGCGTTGCTTTCAAGTTCCACTGGGAAATAAATAACGAGGCCTTCAATCACTCGGTCTACTCGACTAGTATTTGATAAGCTGGAAAAAGAAAAAACTAGTTGGTTCCAAAAAAAAATGATGTAAATAAAACAGAGCAACGATTTGCAAAGCCAAAAACTCCGTATTTTATTCACAAAAGAACACAAATTATATGAGTTAAAAATGAGTCAATGAGAGGGACAGTTCAGACTGAGCAACGTGGAGACAAAGTGAGAGAGACAAGATTGAGATGGTTTGGACATGTGCAGAGGAGGGAAAGTGATATAAGATAAAGGATGAGAGGGCGGAGGAAACGAGGAAGACCTCAGGGGATTAAATGGATCTAATGAGCACATATAGAGGGTTGGTGTGACTGTCAGATTTATTATTCTTATTGAATGTGCCAATGCAACAACAATTAATTATCAGTTTTCTTCTTCTTCTTCTTTCCTTTAACAATTTGATGTGTAAGTTGTCTTTCCGATTTGAGAGATCTCTCACAAAAGTTATATCAGAACAGGCAACTCAGTCAGCAATTGTCTGAGTATCTTGAAAAGTAACAAACCAAGAGCAATCTCAGGCACACTTTATCAAAGAAACACTATTCAAAGGTTGTGAGTCACAAGGCTTTGAACTTTTCCATGTTTTTATATCTTTTACTTTTTTTCACAGTAGCAGTTTAAAGTTTTATGACGCATTTGATTGTTTTCAAGAAATTTTCCTCTTGCAGTGTGATAACATCTATCACTATAATAAATAATTAAACATAAATAATATTCAATTTGATGGATTTATGGTTCTCTCAGACATCTAACAACCTTGACCATTAAAAGCATTTACAAAACAGCTTCAAATTTTAAGCTGAAAATCAGACGCAGAGGGTGTCTTTATACTGTAATCATGTCCACGTTATGCACACTAGGTAAGTACTGCTACTCGCAGTGAAAAATGTTTTCCAATATGACTTGTTGGTATTACTATGTCACTATCTCTCTCTCTATCTAAATCATTATGGCTGATCTTGTGAGTGTGTATGGCAGTCAGCATGTGACATTGCTATCTGGATCATTCAAACAGCAGCTTAAAACCCCTTTAAAGTGAAACCGCACCTATATTGATGTCACTTATCTGAGCTGATAAAATGTGCACATTACATGAGAACTACTGTTTAAACAGAAGGTGTTTCATCAAACATTAAAATCCAGTTAACAGTAAAATGACATTTTAAAATGTTTCCAGCTGCCTTTATCACTCTCAGACCTTTACAGGCTGAAAAATAATCTCTACGTGTTGTTTCAGCTCTCAAATGATTTTAGCCAAATTATAAAAGAACTTAAAAATAAAAGTTCAAAATTACATAAGCTGTTTTTAGGGGTTAAAAGATGATTTCTTTATAAAATAAAATAAGTGCATTGAAGTAGAGACACTTGTGCCAAAAAGTATACTGTGATAAAAACTGAAGTATTGACTTAACTGATTCAAGTAAAAGTGAAAAAGTATGGGCTCTGAAATGTACTCAAAGTAAAAAAAATAAAAAGCAGCTCTTTGGAAGACATTTCTACCAGCCATTTATGTGCAAAGCTAACTGAACTATATTGATAAACTAATAAAACTATGATATTACATTGGAATACAAACATTTTAATCTAGATCCTAATTCTAATAAAACAGAGAAAAAGAAAGGGAATTATTAATTATTTTTTTAAACGGTTCTATTTGCTGTTGCCTACATTGTAGATGGTGAGTCTTCCTCAACACCTAAACAGAAAAATGAGTATGGGGTTAAAGTGGCGTTCGGTAGGTGCGGGGATGTTAAGAATAACTGCGGTGGCTCAGCGTGGGGGCAAATATCACAATACAAAATGATTTCTAATGTGGGTTCCAGTATATTTTCTTTGTGTTCAGGCTGTGATTGGTTGACCCGTGCTGCTGAGGCTGCTCACGGGTTTACTGCTCTTTGTGGATTTACACAACTGAACGGAACAAGATTCGAGCAACGTGCTTCGGGACTTTCTGAACCAGTTAATCTTTGTCTTCCTAAATGACATACTCATCATCTCAAAGAACTTTATAGACCACCACGACTATGTTTTCCAGGTACAAAGACAGCTAGAAAACAGACTGTGTGTTAACATGAGACAGGTGCGTTGAATCTGTGACTTTTCTTGGTTTCATTATCAAAAGTGAAGGTAGACCTAGCCAAGGTTTGCAACCATTTGACGCTCAGCAGAGATGGTTTTCTTTGACACCTCTACTCAGGTTTACGGTTTAGGAGCAGTGCTCTTGTAGCAACGGAAAAGCAAAATGCATCAGTGTTGCTTTTCCCTGCTTTTTTTATTTGTGCCCAAAATAAATCTTCAAGTTCTCCACCTGCAGGATTACTTAGACCTGTACTCCACCTGTATATGCATTGTCCCTGGATTTTGTCATTGGGTTGCCTCTGCTATCACTTAACAACGTCATTGGAGAATCGATCTCCAAGCTGCTCATTTCATTGCTCTACTCTAGCTCCCTACAGCACTACAAATGAATCAACTACCGATCGACCATGTGATCCGCCTCCAGGGGATACTTGTTGTCATCATCTCAGACAGTGGCCCTCAAGTCACTTTGAGAGTCTGGAAAGAGTTCTGCATTGCCATTGGGCCAAATGTTAGACTCTCATCTGGTTTCCAGCTGCAGACTAATGGCCAAATCGAAAGAGCCAACCAGGAGCAGGAAGCAACCTTTGGTGTGTGGTATCAACCAACCAGTATCAACCACTGCAACAGGTCTCACCCTATTTGAGGCATCTCTTGGTGACTGCCCACCCTTGTTGCTGTCTGAACAAGGTGAGCTTACAACACCATCTTTGTTGCTGTCTCCAAATTACAGTGGTCCATTTTAAATTTAGGCCATTATCAACTCTGTTTCTATCCTCTGTTTTCAGCATAATTGCTCCAAGAGCAGACCGATGACTCATCCAGGCCACAAAAGAACCCAAAACATCTAAAGAACTGCAGACCTCACTTGGCTCAGTTAAGGACAGAGTTTATAATTCAACAATAAGAAAGAGACTGGGCAATAGTGGCAACCGTGAGTTTCAAGAAGAAACCTGCTGCTGAGCAAAAAGAACACAACAGTTCATCTCACATTGGCCAGAAAACATCTTGATGATCCCCAAGACTGTTGGGAAAATGTTCTGTGACTGATGAGACAAAAGATGAACTTTTTTAAGGTTTGACTGCTGTTACATCTGCCATAAAACGAACACAGCATTTCATAAGAAGGACATAGCAGCAACAGTTAAACATGGTGGTGGTAGTGCGATGGTCTGTGGATGCTTTGCTGCTTCAGGAACTGGATCACTTGGTATAATTGGTGGAAACATAAATTCTGCTCTTCTCATGCTCAAAAACCCTCCAATGAGGTTGAAGCAATTCTGCAACAGTGGGCCAAAATCCAGCACCACGATGTGAAAGACTCATTGCAGTTGTTGCTGCCAAGGGTGGCACAAGTTTTTAGGTGTAGGCAGCAGTTACTCTCTCACACAGGTTTGGGTAGCTTTTATCTTTGTCTAATATTAAAATTTGTTTAATATGTGAAACATGTAACATGTAATAATGAAATTCTGAATGCAATATAATTTCATTGAAATTAGATTTCTTCCTCCAGCCAAATCCAAGACATCAGCATTTCTGGATAAACAAAGGTAACCAAGGTCAAGGTGTTTTGAGTCTATTATCTGTAATTAATGGCAAATCCTCAAGCAGATGACCAAGAGACGTGCTTGTTATGGGGCTTAGGCCTCATTTAGTCAATAAAAAGTCATATTTATAGATAAATATGAAAAAGAATATGTCATTAAAGTTACAATAATGAGTCCCTACAATAAATAGGAGTTTCTATTCTTTTGTTTTTCCTATGTCTTTCCTAAGTCAATCAAATAGTTTCTAGAAAATTCTTTAAACTATTCTGTGTGAAATGTAGGTGAAATGATCCTTCCTCTGACCTCAGACTGAGTTTGTGGTAAAGTTTCCTGCTGTATTTGTATTACAGAGTAGTCCTTTAAAGTCCATTGAGCATCTGTATGTATCCCAATGACGACTTCAAACTCACCTGCGATCAATGAGATCCACACACAGTTGGGAGCTGATCCTGATCCAGGTCCCGGCCCCGGTACCGGTCCTTGTCCAGGTCTGGGTCCTGGCTGGAGTATCAGAGGGTTGACCTGGTGGGTCCTCCAGGACCCGATGTCTGCCATGCTGCAGGGGAACAAACAGACTGTAAGGGTACAGCTGAAGGAAAGCGGTGTCAGGTGCCCTGGATTGGGTTACCCCTGGTTCCAGAGGGGACAGAGGTGTGAGTTTACAGCCTCCTCAGGTTTCAACACACATTCTGAGCTGGACTTCCTGCTATGCACACTGTACATCATGTCACCTACCGCAGGTGAGTTAGAGGGGCAACCAACACAATAACTAATGACATCACGGACACAGGACCATAGGACACAGGAAGTCCAGGTCTAAAATAGTCAGGAGCCAGTTACCCATTTAATCCGCAGCACACATTCAGTTTTTACATCAAAAACACTTTGATGCTATTTGGGAAGAAACTGCATGGGGTAGAAAAGCTACAAAAATATTTTAAAAACCCTGCCAATACCTAACCATTCAACCACCCACACAATACACAGTGAGTAACATACGTTTTGAACACGTCACCAGTTTTTCAGTGAAATTTTCAGTACCAACCCATCCAATTCACACATGGAGAGAAAACCATAGATGTCCATAATTTAATTTATGCGCAATAATGAGAAATGACACATGGCAAAAGTATTGAAAACATGAAGAAAGGGAGATCCAAACAGGCATGGAAAGTCATGGCCCAAAGCCCAGAGAGCTGGGCAATGTGGATGTGGAGCACTCTGTGGAACCTGA